TGTAGCAACTTAACCGGTGGTATTAGACATAGATCATTATGATTGTTTATAAATTAACGAGTTAATAAATTTAATTGCCATATTTTAAATTTCGTTCAAAAAATCATACAGGTCTATCAAATATCTAATTTATGCTCATAACATAGTCAAGAGACTACGACACTTTATGATGAGAAGATATAAATTTTCTGAAAATTTCAGGAAAATAATTTATTTAAAGATTTCGATTAAAGAAAAATTAATAATTTTTGAGAATGACATATATACTAATGTTAATAATTTAACGTATAAAGTGTCGAACCACAGTTTGGTAAGAGTGGTGCCTACCCTGAAATTCGAATTTTCTTCAATTAGTTACTTCTAATAGTGTTCACTCTGAATTTTTTTCTACCCAAAATCTGAGATTTCTTTTGCCTACCCAGAAATTTTATTTGTACCACCCACCCTATTAAAATATATAAAGACAATGATAAAGATGAGGAACAAGATGTGAGCCCAACCTCCACGGTGCAATTGCGCGTGCGGCAGATGTGAAAATGGAAGCAAAGCAAAAATAAATGAGGTCATGGGATAACGGCAGAACCGAATGTTTGTCAAGCTTTGCGGCAATTTCGCCTTTTCCCACTTCTCTTCCATTCTTCGGCTATCAACATTCTACATTCAATCATCCAAACCCTTTCTTCTTCATTAAAAAAATAAAAGATTTGATTATGCTGCTTTCTAAGCTAACAGCCACATTCAAATAATTCTGGATCACTGATTCCACAAGTATGAAAGTACACATCACCATCGGGAACATATATTAATGAGCGCCTAAAACCGATGAACGATTCCACGTCCGAGACGCAGCAAGCATGATAGCTTTATGTGAGGGGACGCGTTTCTGATTTGTAGTCAACGCATGTAATCTTCTTGTGCTTGAAAATATTTTTCATCAAATATAGATATATGTAATTGTTTAACTAATATGACCACGTAACTATTTGAGTAGTCTCGGATATTAATTTGTAATGGTCCCCACGTTGTAAGCCTCACATGGTCATTATTTTTATTTAGATTTTAATGACTTATCACATCGAAGTGACGAGTCTAATAAAAAAAATTATTTTATAAAAATTTAAAATAATATATATATATATATACCAAAAAAATAGAAGAACTCGTTACGTCGAGGTGACGAGTTCCTTCAAATTCAAAATTATTAATCGTTTTCTAGTCGTTGATCAACGGGCAGTAACGATCACATGGAACTTGTAGCCTCGACGTGAAGAGTTCGACCGGGTAAAATTAAAAAAAAAATTAAAAAGAAAAATCAATTTATTAATGTAATAAATAAATTTTTACATGAAAATTACAAAGAAAATTTATCTTTGCCTTCGAAGTTCTTGACGATGCCGAGGAGTTTTCGAATGATAATGTTGCGGAGCTCGTCGAGTACGTCGGGGTATTAGGCCATGGTTGTTATCGTCGTCGTCGTCTTGCCGATGAGGTGTACTTAACACACTCAGCGATCCACCTTCTGAATATTGTGATGTATTTATGACATTTTAAGCCATCATTGTCATAACTGCTTTGACTTGGCTTTGGTGACCATATAGGATATGGTCTCACTCACCCGCAACGGCATGTTCTGTGGAAGATCCTTGAGTGTAATACGATGGGGCCCATGAACATCCAACCCAATTCAGTCGAGTCTCGTCTGAAGCATAAAATTGAGGATAGAAACTGAAATTGGCATGGGATGCATGATAGTACTCTTCAGAGGCATATGTTAAAGCGGAAGCAGAAGACGACGATCCTTTCTTCTTAGACTTCGACTTGGTACGTCTGGCCTGATGGTTTTCCCATTCTTCTCTTTCTTCCAGTGTCGTCAGATATGGTTTCCCATTTGCTTTGTAATTTTGAAGATAGAGAGAATAATTGAAATCTAGGTCCAGCGGGTGTGATGTCCTGATGTGGGGGGAGCGATTGGTCACGCTGATTCCATTGTTGGATGTAGAATGCGTGCCTCATCGGCCAATTCTCAGTATGTTTCCCTCGTGTATCAATTGCATGGATTGCGTCCATCTCAACTATAAGCATAGGAGTCGACTGGTGCGACGCAAATTGTCGTATCACTATGTCTGCAGCGTACCACTCTACAATCGCATAATGCAACATCGGCGTCACAACACACCACTAATGGGACCCCTCAAAAAATCCAACAGAAGTAACTGGTTGATCTCCTTGTCGACATGCAGAAGCCAAGAGAACTGTAAATACTAAACATCAAAGTTAAGAAATATAAAGTTAAAAAGACTCAAAGAAAATAAGAAAAATTTCTTATGTCATACTGAAAATCGACTGGCGATGTCGATCCTCATTCGTATATATCATGTAGTGCATCTGCCAACTTTGTCTCGGAGATTTTATGACTCCATCTAAAATATTTAAAAATAAAAAAGTATAAACAGATAAAAAATAATTAAATTTACGAAATTAAAAAAAAATGAAGTTAAACAATTACCTTGCAGCCAGCGGAAACTCGACCGAGACATTTGTAATTGGCGTAAAAAACAGGAAGTGATACCAAGCCCAAGACTGTAGTAGCATTAGACAACCAACTACATTGGTTTTTCAACCCCGTTTGGCAAGTGCGACCTTACAAAGCTCCTAGTAAAGAAACACCAAAATCGCCTAGCACAAATAGATATTACGACACACAATAAAGTCTTCCAAATATCGTAGATATTGCGTGTGCGCCAAATTACTGAATTTATCCGGTAATAATAGCACTCCGATCACTTGGAGAAAAAATACTCGGGAGGCGAAAACAACCTCTACCTTGGTAGACTTGTATGTGACTTGAAATGTAGACTCCAACTACGTTATCATCACCCGATAACCCCTCATGACCTCGGATAATGGTCATTTCCCCAAAACTTGATGAATCAACGTGAGGGGGTCGTACATGTTCTACGCAACCACGGGGGCTCCATTCACCAGAACACCAAGTTAGTAAATGACGTCTTCTAGAGTAATTCTCACTTCACCACTCGGGAAGTGGAACGTGTATGTCTCGGGCCACCAACGTTCAATCAGAGCCTCGATCAACATTGGGTACACCTTGAAGCCACTTAAAAATAAGGTCTAAAATATACCGGATTGATGTAGATATGTTATCATCCGCTGATGCGACTCTTTGGTTGTCATCCCCCAACTACGAATACCCGTTCATCGTTGTTCGACACGCGTTGGATCGATGAAACATAGGAGTTATCCAACCACAACATATATTCTCAGGTTGCCATTTTTTTTTACTAAACTTATGAATTTTTGAAAAAACGTATGATTTTTGCATTTTTTGGATTCAAGGTTTGGTGAAAATAAAAAAAGCCTTACCTCCAAAGGCTATAAACGACTAGAAATTTGAAATATCTTGTCGAACTCATCACGTCAAGATGAGATCCATGGATCGTTGCTGCCGACTGCCCGTTGACCAATGGCTAGAAAACGGCTAGGAATTTTGAATTTTAAGGAATCATCACCTCTACGTTTGGAGTTATATTTTTGTATATATATATATATATATATATATATATATTATTTTTTTATAAAAAATATTTTTATGGACTCATCACCTCGGTATGACAAGTTATTAAAACCCAATAAAATAATGACCCACATGAGGTCCATAATGCAGGGACCATTAAAAATTAATATCGAGGGAACTCGTCACGTTGATATGATGAATTCGATGTTCCTGTATAGAATGTCTATTTCCCAAAATAATTTTGGGTAGGCCCAATATCCTAAATAATTTACCCACCTAAGGTATTGGGCCAATAAAAACCAGGTTCCTTTACTATTTTTGGACTATACTCCTACAAAAGCCCAACCGGAGATCCCCACGTTGAAATAACAATAAGGGACAAAAAGAAGTTGAAAATGAATTGTTGGTGGTTGAGTGGTGAGAGTTGATGTAATAGTCGAAAAAGATGACATATTTAAAATATTTTTGGAGTTAAAAAATTTAAGGACTAAATTGATGTTTTGATTATAGTTTAAGGGTCAAATTAAATACTGGCCATTTTATTATTTATTGATAACTTTAATGACCAAATTTAACATTTTTATATTTTACTGACCAAAATAAACCACAAGTAAAATACTAATGTTAGATATGCACAACAAACTTAACCCTAAACGGGGAGGGTCCACACGTTAGAAATAAATAAAGTGCATTGAATCTCTCCATAAGACCTGTTCTCTTCAGCTGTTTACTTATTTCGTCTTGCACTCTTTTTCAAACACTTGCCGATTTAAGTGAAACTGAAGCACTAAATCCGACACCTTGGTTGTTTTATACTTTTGTAGGCCCAAAACCTTGTCCTAAAATACCACCACCAAGCACAGAATATTGAAGGAATTATAGATGAAGAATAAACAAAGAAATGACCCCACCCAGACCTAGCCTAACAACAGTAATGTGTGTTAAAGTCACCTTTTGTCCCTATCTTCCTCGAACAAAGCCTTTCATTTTCGTACATGATCAAAGAGTTTTCATTAAGCCGTCCAACCTACCAAAGTAGGGCTACCACCCACCCACACACAAATCATCTTCAATACACTATATCCCTTTCAAAGAAATTAAGGAAATTGTACAGAAATAGTGCTAGAATTATTATTAAAAGTAAATGTTATGTAGGGAATAATGTAGAGCATGTTCATCATGTGCCATCAGCATATTTTGCGCTCCACATACAGCTGTCATGCAATAAACTCAGCACACTGCCAAGCTGACTTCCATGGAGTTAAAAGTTATAGGTATAATTTAATTTAATTTAATTGGATTATAATAAATGGTAGCTAAAGATAGTGTTAACACAAGCAGTATTTCTACGAGATCATGGATATTCAAAAGGAATTTCCATTAACGGAACTGATTGATCGGTGCGGGTCTTTCACCTTCCACCAAATTATACATCTGGAGTTCCCTGAGCATCCTTCATGCAAACTGTTTATAGACATTCTTTAGCTCGATGAACCTTTGACTGAAGGTAAAAGCTCCCGTTCTTAGCGTTCTGCTCGAATAAGTTGTCATATTTCTGCACGTAGCTCATGGAAAATCTTCCTCAAAACTTCATAAAAAGGATGGTATATATCAGAGGATGATAGGTAAAATGTCCAGCAAACCTTCAAGATTTCTCCCATGATGAATGCTCTGTCACACCTAAAATCTGTCTGCCTCTGGTTCAGCCATAATTTTGTTTCCTCTCCTGATATTCTGAATTGTTTCTTGAGCAACACCAGATTTCGAGGCATCTGAAATCAAGCACAAACCAGTAATGGTCAATTCAAGGATTTAAAATATAGTATACAAAATTTTGTAAAATACAATATCATAAAATTATTTTTTGCTCTTTTAGAAAAACCATAGACAGAAAAGTTCCAACTCCAAGCCTTGATACAAAAGGACATACTTGCAAGAGCCTGACGGTATGCCTGAAATAAAGCCCTTCCCAATATTCCAGAGCCCATAACAATCAAGTTTGCAAGAATTTTTGCCGCCTGTACAAATACATGAACAATTAATCAACTGTCCGATAGCAATTTTCAGTTATTATAGTTACCGAGTGTGAAAGCACATACTATACTACACATAGTAGAGCCATTGAAGGTAAGCAAATATAGGGCAAAAAATCAACAGTTTTAGATATCATCATAAGGTTTTCAACAAGCTATTTCAATAGGTAACTAAATTTAGAGACAAAAATACAAGTATTATATATACCATCATAAGGTTTTCAATTTTCAACAAACTATTTCGTCATCTTGAATAATGTGATAAAATGCTTCAAACTACCAAAATGAGAACATAAAAGGTAAGCTCAGTCCATCCTAGAGGAAACATCAACTCTCCTTTGCTTTGAAGCCTTTTCGGGTTCATCCTCCAGTTCTTCCTGATCATCCTTCATCCCAGATAAATATTCCTTCTCACCTATATGCACCCACGCAAGATTTTATGTTACGGTGTAGATTTCTAAAATTTTAAACGGGGGCATATTTATAAAATTTTAGAGGTAAAAATATATTTTCAACAAAAGTATAAAGAAAATATCTAAAATATATAATCATTTGAAATTTCCGGAAGACGATCGCCTCTGGTCGTCTCCTTGATCCATCCTAACTCACCCGGTTCATTTGCAGTAGAATCCTCGTACTCTCTCATCTGCCTCGTAATCAGGTTCTTCAGCTCCATGTTTACCTGATTTTCATGATTAATTTGCATTAGAATCTGGTAAAGCATATTCAGATATTAAAAAAAACATGGATTAGACTTATTTCGAATATGTATGTCGGACAATATACCTGTAAGCTGTTCAAATGGTCGGATAAATCAGAAGTGCAATCAGCAGCAGGGCATTTCATGACATTTTTTGACGGCGGAGGGTCCGGCCACCTGCATTTCTCTCCCTCAGAAGTGACTTCCCAGAAAATGCAGCTTCTAAGCATGACTTGCAAAAATTATGACCACGAGGCGTTGTTACTGGCATATCCAGCACTTGCTCACAGATCCCACAACCAAATTCTACAACAACAAAAATGGTTTATTTGCCATTTAAAGGCTTAAACTCTTGAGATATATAATTAATTGCTTAATTGTTAAACTATAAGGCAGTAAAAATTTAACCTTTTAGAAGCCTCTTCCCAGCGGGCTACATTCAGTGCTTGCTTAACTACAGTGCTGCCCTTGCCATCTTCCGGGAATCAGAACCACCTGTATTTTCTTGTTGCTTGCTCATTGGTGGTGGTTTCATCCACTTCCAGCAGCCATTAACGTCCTGAAAAACAAAAATTATAACCCAAGGTGACAAACAAAACCGTGCATGTGAATCTTTTCACCCTCCACCCGAACCAGATCCGACCCGACCTCGTCCCTTAAAAAATCCAAGTTGACATGACTCGACCCGTACTCGATTTATTATCTTATTGAATCCAGTCAAGTCGAAATCCGACAGATTCGGGTTAAATTGCCATCTCTAAAATCATCTATTCTAAAATCTAATAGTTATACCAAAATTTGCAGTATCCAAAATGAATCTTTCGAATTAATATTCTTACTACATTCATCTCTGCAAGATAAACACTAAATTAAACTTAAGCATCGAGTAATATTTAACTACTACAAAAATTACAATAAAATATAATAATTATCAATTAGAATTTGAATTAATATCTAACAGCAAACTAAATGAAAAGAAATATACATGATCAAACAATTATATGTGCAGATACAGAAGAAGCAAGGAACGAATCTGGTCCATGGAACAGGATCATTGTCACACCTAACAAATAAATATCGGCAGACCTTGAAGCCCTGCAAAGAGAAGTTTTCATCGTTAAATTCATGATCGTAGAAGAACCAAATTGGAAATATAAGAACGTTGGGATTTGTAAATACTTGAACTCCAACAGATCGCCAGCATTTTTCAACTCTGTAAATCCTGTCATAACATAACCCTTTTACCGGAGCATATGAAGATTGTTTGTCCTTGTAAGACCTGTTCATCACCACAAGATTATATCATCTTATTGAAACAGTCTAAGTTTTTAGACATGTAAACATTTCTATGGATTAATGACCAAATATTAATTTTGTAATAATAATATAAAAAGAAGTTTTGATGTTGAGTTTCTCCGGATAATCCAATAATCTTTTCAACTTGGACAGAAAAATGCTTCGATGCAGCTTTGGGGAAAAAATGATTGATATGGCGTAGTGAAAATATTACTTTTTGAAGTAGGGTGAAATTAATGGTGAAGAAGAAAGTCGGTTGAAGCATACCACGTCTTTGGGAAAACGGTCGAAACATCCGGCATCAAGGATTCAAATAGCGAACGACCGCTATATAGCAGTAACGGTGGCATCCGAAATCACTATTGCGAAAAAATAGCAGTGTGAAGCAGAATCATACTAATAATAGTGGATCGTGGCCGTGACTTAACGAGTAGCGGTCAATTGCGGCAATAGCGGACCGTTATCTCACTATTGTTCCGCTATTCTAATTTCTTTTAAAAAATTCAGCTCCTTTTTTAAAAAAAAATTAACAACTACGATACCCGACCGCAATAACATCCGTTATGTTTGGAATCGCGATAAATATAATACAACAAAAAACGTGACTGCAACTGTAGTTTAAATCCCTACTTGGCATCTTCAAACTCTTCATCTCCAACAAGACAACACTTCGACGTCTTCATCTCCAGCATTTTCGTAAGCCAACCCTGGTGCTCCGGTTGGACATAACAGCAGCATAGAGGGAGACCAATCATGGTACTTCGACAAAAAATAAGTTAGAGGAGAAGATAAAAAGTTTGAAGATGTCTGTTGTTCCGACCGACTTTCAAAAGACGTCACATGCTGCAGTCGTCCTTCGACATTCACCGTAACTTTCATACTTAGATCAAAAATAATTTGTCCAACACCTTATATGACATATCGTTTTTTCACCACCTTATCTCACCATTTTTGCCCTACAAAAACCAAGGGGATTATAATATTGTACTTGTACAATATTAATACTATAAATGATACATGCCTAAAATTAGTCATTTTGGATAAGAAAATAAAGTTGTCTTTATTAAGATTTAAACATCACTTCACTTACCATTAAATTTTAGATGGGATTCGAACATTTTTAAGTTAAGATATCTTCTTAAAAAATAATTGGTTATTAGTTACTTTTCCAATACAAGATTGTTTTTAATAATTACAAGTTTTTAATATTTTAATTTCATATTATGACTCTTTGTTTTATTTAGATAAATTAGGATCACATTTAATTTTTATTTTATTAAATTATTTAAATAAATTAATATTTATTTTATTTTATTAAATTTTATAGTTTATTTTAAATATGATTACAAAAATTTTATATAAGTTTTAGGTTCTCTTAGCCTCAATAGGCACGGGGACAGAACCATGATTCTAACTTAAGGAGAGTAAAATATAATTAAACATAAAAAATGAGGGGAACAAAATATAATTAGATTGATGATTTCTTGAGTAAAAACACAAAAATATGCATTCATAGTTTGACTTGACATGTTCTGTAAGAAAATAATGATCTTTTTTCATTTTAGAGTTTTGAGTTGTTTTCTCGCGGATAATAATGGTATACCAACAATCACTCGATAGATTAATGATCTCATCATTTAATGGTTGCATTAATGCGGATGAATACTTGGAGTGAGTGATAATGGTTGATGATTTCTTGAGTGAAAAACGTGAATGTGGGCATTTGTTAGAAGTTTAAGTTAGTTATGTTTCTGTTTTAATTGTAACTGATTGACAGTTAGTTGGTTAGATCAAAACCAGCAAAAACGCCCCTTGAACAGAATGTCAGACTTACTACATCAGAGTATGACAAATTATGCACAAAAGGGAGTAATGAAATTGATGAGTTATTAGCTGACAAGAGTGTTTATCAGAGGCTCATTGGAAGACTCATTTACCTCACACATACCAGACCAGACACAACTTTTGCTGTGCATTACTTGAGTCAATTTATGCAACAACCAAAGGAATCTCACTTGCATTCTGCCTTGAGGATAGTGAGGTATATTAAAAGGAATCCTGGTCAAGGGATATTGATGGATTCAAACAGCAGCAGTGAACTTAAAGCATATTGTAACTCAGACTGGGCTGCATGTCCTATCACAAGAAGATATGTTTCTGGATTTTGTGTTAAGTTTGGAAATTCATTGATTTTATGGAAATCTAAGAAGCAAAATGTCATAGCTAGATCATCTGCCGAAGCAGAATATAGAAGCATGGCTATTACATCAACAGAGTTGACTTGGTTAAATGGTTTAGCCAATGAGCTTGGGTTAGCAAGAAAGCATCCGATCAAACTGTATTGTGACAACAAGGCTGCTCTTCAAATTGCAGCAAATCCAGTTTATCATGAGCGCACAAAGCATATAGAAATCGACTGCCATTTTGTAAGGGAGAAAATACAAGAAGGGCTTATCAAGACAGAGTTTGTATCTTCTTCAGAGCAATTAGCAGATATATTTACTAAAGCTCTTGGTGTACAACAACATGAATATCTTGTATCCAAGTTGGGGGTAAAAGATATTTTCTACCCACCAACTTGAGGGGGAGTGTTAGAAGTTTAAGTTAGTTATTTTTCTGTTTTAATTGTAACTGATTGACAGTTAGTTGGTTAGATCAAATTCTATATATACATGTATTATTTCTATTCTAATACATGAGGTATTACACAATACAAGTATTTCCAATTTTAACAGCATTCTTGGCTTGATTTGATGTCCATCGTGAGAAAATAATTTTTTGGATTAAATTTGATCACAAACAACGATCTAGCTACACTCTAAAATCTCCTGCTGCGGTAGCATAGAGACCTCCCCTGGTGGTTCATGAAAGATCACAATACCTATCGGAGCACCTCGCCCCGTAGCCGCCAACTTGTCAGCAACGCCATTTTGCTCCTATTTCGGAAGGAGACCTACACAACCACATCTCTCGCTCCTATTTCGGGCTGCATTAATCTGTTCTA